AGTTTGTGGAGATCAAATTGTGAGGTGTAGTTTATGAAATTACTATGGATCTTCATCAAGTAACGGCCGAATCATTCAGAAAAAAATAATTACTCTATTGTAGTAGTCAATTATGGGTTCACTACCACTCCCATTTTAATTTATCTGATGTCAATTGATAAGAAATTCAAAGGTTTCATGAGTCAAGGAGAAGGTATTATTCATCAGGCTTTGACAGATAACAAATTTTACAAACATTTTAAAATACGATATAAACATATGCGTTCCTTTATTCTGGATCTTTTGACAACTGCTGATGATTCAAATATGGACGAACAATATAATATTCAACGGGCTTTCAATAAGAAATTTCGTTTGAAAATAACAGATTTTTATTGTAAATTAATGCACAATTGAAAGTGAATTTTTAATCTGATAACTTTATTCAATACCATTTACGATATCATCAAAAATACTTTAGAGCTAAATACGTATTTTTGACAAACCTTGTGATGAATTCGATAACAGATGGTCGTATTTCAATATTTAGTCCATACAGAAATGTTCAGGCTCACTTAATATAAACTGGGTGTATCAACATTGAATATATGGCAGGGATTTATCATCATATTAAATCACTAGATTCATAACTGTCATCTATTGATTTTCAAGCGACACACATTATGGGGCACTATTTTCGCCACTGGTAAAATACTATAGACTCATAGACTTCAACATCCGCCATATCAACTGGCCTAAATTTTATAATATCAGTAATGAGCAAGGTCGTGAAATTGCAATATAACACAACCAACGCCAACGTTAAAGGTTAATGTCGATCGTCAGACTACAAATTTCATCCAGTTTCGAGTGAATCATGTGGAGTTTGGCACCCAAAACCTGCTACCATCAACTAAATGTTTACCTATTTCAAGTAATAAAGTTCTAACGTTGTGTTGAAGGCACTGAATATTACTATACACTCACGCTGTCTGTTCAAAAAATGAGGTGAATTTTCATTGTTCTCAAAAAATATTTATCTATTCATCAGTTTCTGTGTTGTCCTCTTCGAAATAGTCCCCCTCAGATATAATACACTCGTGCCAGGTTTTTTTCCAATCCACGAAGCAGTTCTTATATACACTTTTCGGTATGTCCTTGAGCTTTATTTATTTATTTATAAACATATAATTGACCAGTATTCAGAATGGATCTGGTGTTATGTTCTACAAAGTATTCTTTGTTTAATATAATTTTGTTGTTATTTTTAACAATACCAAAATAACTCTAAAATACAAATCATGAAATTACAAAACAACAACAAAAATTAATTGGCGCTCCGGGGCGACTTCATTGATTCCAAAATAACAATATAATAAAAACAAAAAGTATGTTTATAAAGACAAAAATTTAAAAATATAAGCTGGACTATAAAGGGTTTAAAAAAATAAAATAAAGTTTCACAACTACATGTTGGTGTAATTCTCAGCGATTCGATTTTATCTTCTCAATCATCGCAAAACGCCATCCTTTCATGGGTCACCTCATTCTTGGGAACAGGAAAAAGTCGCAGCGGGGGGCAAAGCTGGTGAATACGGTGGCTTAGGCACGATTACGGTGTTATTTTTGGCCAAAAAATTATGAACATGCGTATACCCATGATTCATCACCAGTTATGACCCACTTAAGCAAATCTGAATGGCCATTGACGTCATTCAATAATGTCTGAGCGATGTACATGCTACGTGAGTTTGCTCAAAATTCAGAACGAACTTCGCTGACACAAAATTCCCACTTCATGCCCAAAATTTCATGGCATGAGCCAACCGATATGCCGACACCCTTAACAACTTCTCTAATAGTGATTCGACGTTTCTCCATAGCACTTTTCTTCACCTTCTCAACATTTTCATCGGTTGTGCGTCCAGGCCGAGCGTTGTCATCCACATTTTCTTGACTTTCTGTGAAAAGTTTGTACCACTTGTAAACATTTTTGTGACTAAGAGTACAATCACCGTATGCCACTGTCAATATGTCAACTGTTTTTTTTTGAGTAGTCAATTCCATTTTTCACACAAAATTTAATGCAAATTCGTTGATGCGTTTTTTTCGATAGCACAAAGTCGACAAGAACACACAAAACACTTCTAACTTTTATGCCTCTTACCAATAAACTAAACATGCTGAACAGCTGAAACTGTGAACATGTGTTCGAATCGAGTGTGCCAACATAGAAAAATTAAAAAAATCTCTAATCGGATGAACGTAGCCGCGAAATTTGAACATTCTTCTCATTTTTGAATAGTCCACGTACACGTGATTACGAGTCTCAGTATACCTGTGTATACTCGAACTAGAGGTAACTTTATTTTATCAGTTCGAACTTCCATTGTCTAATATAATATAAATTGATTTGATAACCCTGAAAAAATCAAGAAGATTAACCAAAATTGTTATTTTCAGTTAATCTTTTTTTATTTTTTCAGGGTTATCAAATCAATTCATATTATATTAGACAATGGAAGTTCGAACTGACGAAATACACCATGAAACATTGTCAACCACCTTCAAACTAGAGATAACTTTTCTCGTGATTTTCAAATCGCCCGCCTTTTTTCATCCATGATGTCCATATATGAATAGAATTGCTACTCTACATGAAGCTATCGGCCAAAAAACTATAATCAGGCATAGCGTATTGAAAATAAACATAATACATACAATTTTGTGAAAATAAGGCAGAGAAAATATCATCAATAAAAATATTTACAAAAAGTCAAGACTGTACACTTATTGAACGAGTTGTTTCGATCTTTTTGGGGTTTTTTCATCACAATCTGAAAAATATAAAAATTGAGATGGAGAAATGTATGCAGGTGTAGCGTTAGAAAAGAAAAAGAAAGGGAAAACTTAATAGTTCACCCCGATAAGGGTAAATTCTATGTATTTTCACTGTTTCACTGTTTTCATCGAGTAAGAAAGGTACATGATAGTGCCGAGGTCGGTCAGCGGGACATAGATTCAAAAGATGATAATAAACATGTAACTTTTTCTACTGCACTTGTCAAATATTATTCACCTGGAAACTTATTCTGCAGGTAGTTTTTCATGAATAATTAATGATAAATTGTTTCTCACACCTGGCAAGCGGGACAAAATTGATCTTACAGGTAGTCAATCATGTAATATTTCACGAGGATGGTGACAAATCTTATTCACTCTGAAATTTATATGAGACTTAAGTTTAGACTATAAATAAGAAGAAAAAAAATCTTACGGCTTGAACGCAGACCAAAGCAGTTCTTACATCGACCTGAAACTCAAAATGGCCGCGGTGCGAGGTGAATAAGATATTACAGAAATTTGTGTCGCCGGCTCTCGGACTACATGGAGTCTTTTCCACTCAGAATAAATCCACTGCGGCTAAGTGTTTCAACCAATTTCAAATGATTCGTGCTTCTATAAGAAATGAAAGTCAGAGCAGTTTTCAATATTGTTCTATTGTCTAATAAAACCTCGATAATTGAAAATTAGTTTATCTCAACAACCAATAAACTCTTATAAATTTCCGAATCTACGAAAAGCGTAGTCGTTCGAAAAATCGCTTTTGTACTTCTTTTCAATTTTCATGATCATCCGCATCAGTTGAATGCCAAAATATGTGCAACAACCGTCTATAATAATTCTGAATGTCAAATATATCGAAGTGCCCATTTTATAAGGGTTAATATTCACTATGTCTGTTAGAATCAATATAAACCAAATCAAATTCAGTAGAAAGGAATATGTGGATGCAATTAAAAAAGGTGCCATTATCTGTTCAGCTTCGAAAATGATTCCCATAAACATGGGAAGACATGATATAAGAAATATCAGTTGAAAACCCAAGTTAACTTCCAATGGTCGAGGGATTTTGGTTGACGCCAATATGTTAATAGTAAGCGTTAGACTCAGCGCACAAAGCACAATGAATGTCACAACAAATACACACACGATTATTTTCAGAGAAAACTTGTTCAACTTCATATTTGATTTTTACGAAAACTGACATACATCATACGTCAGTCAGTTGATGAACAACAATTTGTTTGGAAACAAAATGTTTTCCTCTCTAATCTGCATGCTGAGAATCAACGAAAATCGATCCCCTTTGACTAGTTTAAAAGTTATGGTGTGATGAAATTTGGGGAACCACTCATTTCTTTATTTTTTCTATTATTACCTTATTCAACATTGGATACTAATTCTCGCCATACTTTGAGGTGTTCAATCTGATAAAAACAATGCCATGAAAACCTAGGGATCGGTTTTTTCCAAAAATATGAATGTCTCCGAACCGGATATAATAATGTCAGGATAGACAATTTCTGCTTCGATATGTTTGTTGGGGGTTAAAATGAACACCAATATGTCTTGGCACAATCATGTCGCTGGAATTGCAAAGGTTGCTTCTCGAAAGCTTGGAACACTATTCTGAACCAGAAAACTGTACATACCTCAGCAACTTTTGATGCTTTATAAAGCTTGGATCAGACCTTCTTTGGAGTATTGTTCTCATGTATGGAGTTCCGCCCTTAAGCATACCCTGAAGCTGCTGGACTCCATGCAGAAAAGAGCCATCCGCCTGATTGGAGACGAGGACATCAATTGCAACCTCAATAGTCTGGAACATCGAAGAAAGGTTGGGGATTTGTCTCTCATCTAAAAAAAAGTTCACTGGAGTTGCAGATATTGATTATATAAAGCAGTCGCTCATTGACAGAATATCCCACTCTATAAAATGAGTTTGAACTATTGATAAAATTATCGTTGAATAGATCAAAATCAATACAAACAGCTAAATAAAAGACTAATGTGCCGGGTCTGATAAATTCACTAGTTAATACCATATAAAACCTCCTACATAAAAACAATGAATAGACTTCTTAAATTATACCGCGCCGCCTATGCCACACAACGAAACTGCCGACATTCGGTAAAGATTCAGTTTTTATGCCATTCGAATTGACTATAACTTTAGCAAGCGGATTGGCACGGATGTGATTTAAGGTATGCATCGTACGGATCGTATAAACCTAAAAATATAACCCCTTCACTTCAAACTTGTCATTATTGCTTTGTTATTAGATGAAGAAGAAAGGAGAGGAAATAAGAGAAGACATAGAATGTGGATACATGACATATTCAAAAAAAGATCACAATTTGGAGAATATCATACACTGTTCACTGATTTGCTCAACGACGACGTAAAATTCTTCCAATATTTTCGTATGTCTCATGCCAAATTCACAAATCTTCTTGACATCTTAGGTCCCCATATATCAAGACAGAATACAACATACAGAGAGGCCATAGAACCAGAACAAAAACTTGCTGTGTGTTTAAGGTATGTATTAACAACAATCAGTTTTAAATATTAAAAACTATAATTATTTAGTAGGTATTGAATTTTAAGTAGGTACATCTTTCAAACGCAATGCGAAAAACAACACAATTACATTTTTAAACCAATTAGTTTTTTATTCTAGTTGAGTCAATTTTTTACAATGTGGTACAAAATAATTCCGATACATTATTTATATTATGAAATGAATTGACTTAGATATTGATTATCTTGATCCTGCATATAAGAAAATTCGTTTGTGGAAGGTGAAGGAGTCATTGGCATTTGAATTAGGCAAAGGAGACATAATGGCATTAGAATCTGGTGACGGAGTCATAATTACATTCGAAGCAGGCGAAGGAGACATTGTTACAGGTAAAGGGCAATGAATATGCAGAGTTTCGTTCATGGTAGGTGAAAAAGACATTGTTTTATTCGAAGTTTGTTTTGAAGTAGACGGTGCAGAAAATATTGAATAATTTGATGGTGGCGGAGGCATCGTTACGTTGGAAACAGAAGTTGGTGAAGTTAACGCAAGTCTCATCTCTACATTGTTAACCATTTGAAACAATTGCGCCTTAATGTGAATTTGATCCCGAATAGGAAAAGTCTTGACTGTTTTTGCCATATTTATGAAAAATTCAACCATAGGATCACTCTGAATGCTGTTGAGTTGTTCTTTTCTTGATAAATATCCCTGAAGGACGTTAGCTGCAGTTGGTTGTTGTGGTGTTACAAACTTCGATTTCCTACCAACATTTCGTGATGATAACATGGACGATATTGGTTGTGACTCTTATGTATCACTTGATTCATTTACTGTATCACTATCTGAATTATTTAGGCCTTCCTATGGTTGTCTCTAATTCTAGTCCATCGCTCCTTACATGCATTACCTGTAATACATTACAATGAATCAATATTTTTTATTATGATCGAAGGGATTAACGATGTCTTGATTTTAAGACGTGTGTTTGTTTTATATTCTGAACGGAGTGATGAATGTATTACTTTTGTTTCAGGTTTTTGGCCATTGGGAACTCTTTTCGTTCAGTTTCATTTTCCTTTAGACTAGGAGAACGCACAGTACGAAGAATCGTTTACTCAACATGCGAAGCCATATCCCAGTTTCTACAGCCCCTAGTAATGCCGAAACCACCTGAAGAAGTATGGAGAGAATCTGACGAAGGTTTTCGTGAAAAATGGAATTTTCCTAACGCGATTGCTGCCATTGATGGAAAACACGTGTTGATTCAGGCACCACCGCACAGTGGATCAAATTATTTTTGTTATAAAAACACTTTAGTACGGTGCTATTAGTCTTAGTGGATGCAAATTATAAATTCATAGTCGTAGATATTGGGGCTTTTGGCAAAAATTCTGATGCTAGCATTTTGCGAAATTCTAATTTGGGTAAAGGCTTACAGAATGGAACACTAAATATACCTTCACCAAAAATACTACCAGGGGGCAATGACGTATTACCTCACGTCATAATTGGTGATGAAGCTTTTCCATTATGCACGAATTTGATGCGACCATACTCACGCGACGATGCACAAAGAAACGAAGAAAAAAAAGTGTTTAACTATCGGTTGAGTCGTGCTAGAAATACTGTGGAAAATAAGTTTGGAATATTGGCAAGGAAATTTAGAATTTTTGAACGTAGGTTGTCTCAAGAACACATTGTGAGTGTTGTAATGCCTACATGCTGTTTGCACAACTTTCTTAGGAATGACACGTGTCACTGGACAGAAAATGATTTGAATATTTCTATTTCCAACATGAGAGGACTGCAAGACTCAAGAAATATAGGTGGACATTCGAAAACAGATGCTTTAGCAGTTAGGGATGGTTTCAAAAATCATTTCAATTCAGCAGAAGGGTCAGCAGAATGGCAATTAAGGAGAGTTTGAGCTGGAAGGAGGTTCACGTGACTCTATGATACAGTTAACTGAATATTTTGTACCTAAATGGCTCTATTTTACTAACTACATATATTGAAATATGAATAAACTTACCAGTTTGATTTAATCTTTTTCCAATTTCTTCCAAAATATTATCTCGCCTTTGTTGATTCGAATAATGAGGGTGTTTTAAATTGTACAACTCTTCGTACTCTTGTACAATTGTGATTAGTCTTGCAATGTCCATGATATGCGTAATAACAATTATAATTAAAGCACGTGTGTGTACTTAGTGTCGAAATGTAACAAAATTCAAATGATCTGTGAGGCGACCAGTGACTACCTGTTGAGACATGCGTCCACTTATCGGCAATCCGCATGACATCATCCGCACCATTCGGAAAAGTTGCCCCTTCGATCAATTTCATCGGCATTACCGAAGGACCGATACGTGCGATCCGTCCGCTGCCGGTCAGTGGACGCATATGTATAACTTACTATACTAATATTTCTAAAATCCGTTTCATACAATCCGTACGATACGTTCGATGCGTACCTATGGACGCGTACCTTTAGAGGTCGGGTCCGCTTTTAAATCCAACTACAGTAATTACAGAGTTTGTTTATATACAGTAGCTTTTGCATCGTAACACATGACACCGAAGTACACTTTCGACACAAACTCCACGGTCAATGTCACAAACCGTAAATAGTGGATGATGAATTTTCATCCCGAGAACATGCTTGGCAAAAACACCTGGTTTGCAAACGTGTCAAGAACCAAAAATTGGACGAAAGCCGAAATATACTGTGACGAAAAACCTTTTCATTTCAGATACCCGCTCATTTACAAACATTCGTCTTTCAGGCAGAAGTATATGCAATTTGCAGTGTGCAAGGAATGTTAATTTGTAGCTTCAACAAAATGAGAAAAATCGATACTCTCACAGACAGTAATGTTGCAATCGGGGTATTGATGAATACAATAAACTACTAGCGGACTCTATACTGGGTGCTTGGACACCCAAGAATCGCAGGCAACAAAAAAGCAGGGTGGATACGGGTCATCCCTTGGTACTAAAATCCATAGTATGGGTCAGATCAAAAAAGGAATCAATAAGAAGCAAAGAGTACAAATAAAGTTTACCTGGGAAAATGAAAAATCTTCATAAAATGACCTTCTGAAAAGAAAAATAAAGAGCTGCTTTAGTAGAGCAGAGATCAGCTCAGAATATTTACTAGGCTACTCAGTAGGCATTATCCATTCAGAGGGCACCTGAACAAAATAGGACTGAATAACGGACACCTTAGCTGCAGGAAAAATGCAACCAACGGACAGAGATAGCTTATTGTTATTGTTTATGCAAGTGTGAGAATGAATGATTCACTTTACCTATAGTAGTAACGTAACTGGTGGATATACATTCATTGAACTACATATTTCTCTCGAAAGTTACATCTAAAACTTCATCAAACATCTGTAAATGCCCCTCTCTTTATTCATTTTGAAGAGTATTTTCCATCTGTTCACTGTTTTAATCCTTTATTGAAAACTCTTTCAAAATTCCCAGTAAGAATTCAAACTATCGTTCCCAAAGGATAAAAAACAAATAATTAACCCTTTGACTCACGAGTTTTGGTTTCAAGAGATAAAAATTATTTTCTGGTAATATATTGTCAAAATATGATATTTGTAAACACTTCAAACATTTCTTTAGAATTCACACCCCTGGTAGTACGAAAAAAAAATTGTCTATAATTGTAGACATCAGTAGTCAATGGTACCTATTATATTTATTTGAAAAAGCAAAGAACATTCGTTGTGTAAAATCAAATATAAAAAAGATTGTTCATTCTAAATCAATTATTGTGGAAGTTCTCAAAACAGTTGCGATTTTTCTGAAGGCACAAATGTACCTTACATTTATTAGTGCAAATCCATCGTGACTTGCCCTTGCACCCAACATTTTTATAACGTCCAGGTAGTGATATACTAGTGTGCTCTGGCATATGATTAACATTGTCCATTTGTACATCTGCTAGAGGCCTCACTTCGGTTCTTTTTCGACTTGGCTGGACTGGGGCATCATCTTTTGATGATGCCCCATCATCTTCTTTCGTGAAATTTCATTTCCCTGTTTGATGAGGACCTCTCCTATTTCCATTCTGAAGTGTAATAAATCTAGAGTTTTATTTGCTGGCCGTTCAAGCAGCTGAGAATCTTTTCTGTACTCTGTCCATGAATTTATGAGTGATATATCTACAGCATGAAATATCATCCTCAGTGTCCATTTCTTGGACCTTATTTTTGTTCTATATAATGATATGAGTGCGTCAGCTTTGTCGACGCCACCCATAGAGGTATTGTATTCCTTTACTATTTGCGGACGGTTCACGTCAATACGAGACTTTGTATTTTTATTCCAGCGTTTCACATTATCCTGGTCTCCTATTCCAACATAGTTTGACGCCAATGCCACTGGTTTATTATCCAGCCAATTGACNTGGATATGTTTCTATATGTGTATGGCAGATATCACTGCTAACTGGCTAAAACATGTGCAGAGAGGTCAACAAATGTATTTAGGGTTGTATAAATGCGAAACGAAGCGAATTGTGGGTATCACGGAAACTGGAAAGTTAGTGTCTACAATTGTAGACACCGTGAGTCAAAGGGTTTGTATTGTAGATATCAATTATAGGTTCACTACCACTCCCATTTGAATTTATCTGATGTCAGTCGATAAAAAATTCAATGGTTTTGTGACTCAAGGAAGAGGTATTATTCATCAAGCTTTGACAGATAACAAATTTTACAAACATTTCAAAATACGATATAAACATCAATAATTCCACCAAATTAGAACCTAATTAAGTATGGTTCGAATTGGAAATTGTGAAACTGCTAAAAATAGTGAAAATTCCTCAAATTCAATTATTTATAACACAAATTTAAGGAATGGTGGAAAGTAAACATTTCAAGATTATCTTATCTTATCTTACTTCATAAAATGCATTGAATTATCGATAGATACATTCTTGTTCAATTAACGTACGACAAGACTAGGGAACTTTATAGTAATTAGGATCGTGAAGGACATGTTATTTGACCACTTGAATAAAAAAACAGCAACTGGAATAGCTATCTATGATATGAGTGTTAAAAGTAAGGTTTTATTTTGTGAGTGAAAAACTTTTCGAAACGAGCGTAGCGAGTTGAGCAATTTCACGAACAAAATGAAACCTACTTTCAACACAAATATCATACAAAGTTTTTTTGTACAACTGTCATGTTTTGATAATAAAATAGACAAATTTAACATTTTCATAAAAACACATTTTGACATCTCTTGTCAGTTAACTATTTTCATATTATCGCATTTGCTGTGAAGTGGCCGTGTCAGGTGACGCCGAATCACCTGGTTACCAACAAACAGTATTGTTTATAGCTCACTCGTTTTATTTCAAGTCACATTTGATGTCATTACTGGTTTTCAATGTCTTGCATAATAAAGAAAAATAGTGAGGAATTGTGTATTCTGACGATATTGAGGATGCTGCAAAAGAGCTTCAATTGAATGGTTACCAAAAAAATCGGCTCAGCAGTACGACATCGCATATTTTAATTTTCTTAGCTGGTGTAGACTTAAAAACGTCGAAGGAAATTTCAGCGAAACCATCTTCTTAGCCTATCTAGAAGAGAAATCGTCAACTTTGTGGAGCAAGTTTTCAATGATAAAGTCGAGTGCCTTCGTTAAAAATGGTGTTAATACAAGCAAATATTTCAAGGTAATAGCATTCTTAAAGCAGAAAAATGAAAGTTATAGGCCCAAAAAATCAAAAACTCTTACGTTTGAACAAGTACAGAGGTTTATAAATGAGGCGTCAAATGAAAAATATTTCATGGTAAAAGTTGCTACTCTTTTCGGAATATATGGAGCCAGCCGGCGTGAAGAGCTGTGCCATTTATCAACACAAGGCATTAAATTAATGGATAAATCATTGATTGTGCAAATTCCAAAAACAAAAACGAAAATAGGTGGTTTTTTTGCATTGTTGGAAAAACCATTGACTATTTTAATAAATACGTTGCAATACGCCCTTCTGTTATCAATCATCAACGTTTTTTTAAATACACAAATTAAAAATGCAGTGCCTACCCAGTTGGTATAAACACGTTTGGAGAAATTCCCTCTACCATTGCTGAGTTTCCGAACCTCCCGGAAGCAAAGGTATATACAGGTCACTGTTTCAGAAGGTCTTCTGCTTCTTTGTACGGAGGATGGAAGTCTACAACAGTAGCTGAGGGTTACATCGATCAAAATCTATTTCTTATAAAAAGGCTATTGATGTAGAATAATCCCAACAGCTAGCCCCAGCGTTACAGCATCGTCCTCTTCACTTCAAGAATTGAATGTTAATGGCCAGCTAGTTCAAATATATTACAAGGCAGAGAGAAAATTTTGTACTCTACACATTGATGCTGTTAATTTTTTTCCAATTTCAATTTTTTTGTCCCTTTTCAGCCCATTACTACCTATATGATGTTGTTAAACGATTTTCTGCCAATTTTTTTCTACAAATTCAAACTGAACCAAAGCGCTGCCGAAACAGACAGAAAAATCAACCAGGCATTTGGCAATGATAATGTTAATGAACGCACTGGTCGATGTTGGTTTGCGAAATTTTGTTTCATAAATTTTAGCCTTGAATATAAGTCCCGAAATGGTGGACCTGCAGTAATCCTGGACGAGGACCCTGGTGGAGACTGACCCCTCACAAACGGTGTGTGGGATAGTGGAAGAACTGGGCGTCAGCTCCCAAGCGGTTTTTGATGGTTTCAAATATGATGGAAAGGTCACAAAGCTCGAAAAGTGGGTGCTTCACGATTTGAACGATCGATCAAAATTGTCACGTTTTGAGGTTTGTTCTTTGCATTTGCGCAACCAAAACGAACCTTTTTTGGACCGGATCGTCACGTGTGATGAAAAGTGGATCCTCTTTACAACTGGAGACGAGCAGGACAGTGGTTGGATACAGATGAGCAACCCAGGCACTTCTCAAAGGCGAAAACCCACCAAAAAAGGACCATGGTAATTGTATGGTGTTCTGCCGCACTATAAATTT